CTTAGGTTTCTTTTTTCCACCAAACAACTTCCAGACTGAAACTGATGTCAGTATTGCCGTATTGCTGTACCCAACTCCAACTCCTTGTCTATTCAACGCTAAAAGGTTTGGCTCTGACAGAGTGCTTCTTTCATACCAAAATCACAAGCACCAGGGGAAAAACTAAGTCTTGTCAAAAGCTGTAATTCATCAAAAGGTTTTAGGCATTATGCTTGAAAGTTCTGAGTTAGGTTTGTTTTTGACCTGCCTACGTAAGTGAAGACCAAACAAAAAAAAAAGGAAAAAAGAAGAAAGGTTTGAGAGTGTTAAAGGTTATTTGGCATCAGAGTAGGAAAAGCTCAATGTGGTATTGCAGCTATTAATTTACTGCAATTTACTGCGATACCACCTGCAGAGTGGCCTATGTTTATGCTCAGGGACCATTTAGTGGAGAGAGAGGGTCTCATCTTTTTTTAAGAGCTGTGCCATGAAATAGACTGCTGTGGTTCTGGAAATATTTTGCATTTTATTCCACTGCCAATAAATAAAAAAATGAATCTAAAGCAAATTGTGTATTTTTCTAAAAACATAAATCGTAACTAAGACCCCTGCAAATTGTGCACACTGTGATGGAAGAAAATAGTAGATGCTGGAAATTGTTTTGCACAGAGACAATTCTTTAAAATAACATTTCCGATCCCCTAAATTGTCTGGTGAAAACAGTTTGTATAATTTTATTTTGTGGAAACCAATTGCAGTCCTGCCTGGTCAAACATTATCTGGCAAGCTGACATAAAAGTAATTTATATGATTTTTTTCAATTTTGACTGCTTTCTTTATGTACAATCTACTTCTACACTGCAAAAAATGTAAATCTAAATAAGTGCATTTTTTCTTGAATTGAGGGGGTAAGTGAGACATTTTGCCAATGAAACGAGACTATTTACACTTAAAAAAAAGAAAAAAGAACTGCATTGTCTTATTTCAAGTGCATATTATTTAATTAACTTATTCTAAGAGTAAAAATACTCATTCCATTGGCAAAAGATCTTATTTTCCTGCTTTAAATTAAGAGTAAATTCACTTAATTTAAGACATTTTCACTTAATTCTTGATCATTTTTGCAGTGTATCCTATTCAAGTTTGTGTATTTCCTTTAAAAGATAAAAAAAACCAATATCTTTAGAAGATTTGCTAAACCTTTTAACACCAGCATCTTGACTCTCTATTGATCACTTCCTGCAATAAAAGAATGGTTTAACACTCATTCTAGGAATAAAATATAGTGTGGGCAATACCCCTAATTTAGAGTACACTGCAAAAAATATAAATCCAAATAAGTCATTTTTTCTTAAATTAAGTGCATTTTTTCTTGAATTGAGGATGTAAGTGATACACTTTGCCAATGGAACAAGACAATTTACATTTGAAATAACAAAAAAACTATTGCTTAGTCTTATTTCAAGTGCATATTTTCTAATTATCTTATTTTAAGTGTAAAAATACTCATTCCATTGGCAAACTATCTTATTTACCTACTCAAATTAAGGTTCAATATACTTGAGTTAAGAAAGTTTTACTTAATTTCAGATCATTTTTGCAGTGTATTATGTATTTTTTATTATTTGGCCCATAAGCAAAAAGGATTTTCTTTCCCATGAATGTAAATGTGACTTACCAAATCCAAACGCAGCTGGGGCAGGAATGGGAGCAGACTGGACTGGTGTGGACGTGTAGAGGCCAGTCACCAGCAGACCATCAAAGGGAACACTAGTAGAAATGGTAACTGACGAGACAAAAAGGAAGAAGACTTTTAGTACACCTGAAATTAAGTTTTAACTTATTGTATATCATATACTCCACTGTAATTACTACAGTTGCATACAGTACCTAACTGAGACACATAGATACGAACTCTTAATTAAGAGTTAAATGCTTCACATTTACACGTCATTTAGCAGCTTTTGCAACAAAATGTGTGTCTGACTGTGTGTTAAAACCAGAGCATAATATCGTGTTACTAATTAGCACAACCACCACTGCCCATGTGAAGTGGAATGGATAAACACCAAACAGGATTTAATCTTTTACATTATGACCTACGCACTCATGGGGAAAACTGTTCACTTGACAATTATCTCTGAGGCTGTAATCTACAACCTCTACAAGAAGGGTAAGCTTTAAAATGTCAGCGCTTAAAATTCTAAGAGTTCCGTACGCATAATGATGAAAAGTTGAGATGAAGAAGAAAATATTTGTGGAAAAGATGCACAAGAATTAGGGACAACAACAACCTTTATAGGATTGAGAGGCAAAATTCTTTTAAGATTTTTGTGGGGCTCAGCAATACATGAGCAACAGCTGGCGTCAGAGCTGCAGGAGCAACAGTAGAGATGGATGAAGGACATGGGCTGCAAACACATTCCTTGTTTTAAGCTACACTGCGAGGCAGAATGATCCTAGCAGCCTCTTACCTGAGCTATATAGAAAAAAAACAGGTTTGTGGATCATTGTTTGAGCAACTTCAGGTTCACTGCAAAAAAACATTTAGAAATAAGTACAAAATTTCTTAAAATAAGTGCATTTACCCTTAATTTTAGTAGGTAAATAAGACGATTTGCCAATGGAATGAGTATTTCTACTCCTAAAATAAGACATTTAGA